TATCCTTTATTAAAATAATTTACTAATAGTAAAATAGAATATTAACATTTTGTATATGTCATTTGTTACATTATCGTTCCATCGTGAAGTAATAACATTTTACATAACATATTTTCCCTTTTTAGAGTAATAATAACATAAGGAAAATTGATCTTGCATAAATAGAGTCTCTATCGTTTAATGAAAGTATGAACTTGATAGAATATACTTTACTTCAACCGAACGATATGAGAAGGAAAGTAAATGTTTTTTTTTTCTTTTTTTAAGACAACTTTATAAAATATAATGAAAGTGCGACACAGCGTTCAACATGACGCGGCCAGAATTGTGCTCATCACTCTGGTACGACAAATTACAGATTATATAGTATAGGCAGTATATACATTTCTTACACGTGAAATAAATTCTTTGTTTAAATTCTTTTTTGCATTTTTTAATTTCCTCGGCCATTTTTTTTCCTCCCCCCCCCCTCCCCTCCCCAACCCGTAAGTAATCGTCAACTAGTAACAGAAATACGAATTTGCACGTGGAGAAAAATATTATATTTATTATCTTTACAATATAAACAATATATTACTGCATTTTCCAATGATCAGACAGATACGATATGTATTGAATATTAGAAAGTAATATGATAAATCATATTTAAATTTTTCTTTTCTTTTTCTTTTGTAAATATATATATGATTTCATTAGCTTAAATTGTAATTAAAATTTTAATATTCAAACGATAATTGTTAAATTATTTGTCTCAAGATAAAAACCCAATACAAAGTACACGTGATTCATAAATAATAAATTGATTATAAAATAATTATGTTCCATGACTTGATACCGAAGCTATACCAAATTGCCGATATAGATTATTCAACAATTTACTGTCACACTCGTATTAATTAATGGATTTATTAAAAATTATAGTTTCATTCATGCGAACTGATATGCTGCAATATTACATAATAGAAATCACCATATGCACAAATTGATATTAATACAATGTATCGGTTGCTAAATACTTTCAATTATACACGTTCTGGAATATAAAAGATTATTTGGAAAGGAACGCTTTTATCTACGATTTCAAAATATTTGCAAGATATTAGATCGTACGGTGTAATTATTAACGAGCGAATCAACATATTGAAAATAATCAATGTGAAATTAAATTTACTACAAACGTAACTATTTACGTTGATTTTACAATTTTACTTCAAGACTCGATTTTCTTTTCTTTTTTATCATACATATCAATTCTTTATTATTTTGATTATTAATATATTATGACAATTAACATAAAAATGATCAAAATAATATATAGTTCAGAGTCTTGATACTGTCTGTTCAGTAATTAGGAATATTAATAGTTTATAGAAATACTGTCTATGTCTAAAAAAATTTTTCTCCGTGCAAATATTAAATATCCGACGAGCGCTAAAGTTCATTCAGAATAAAATGTAAAAAGAAAATAGACACTCTAAAAAAGATATATAAATACACGCACGTTTATAAATAAATAAATAATTATTTAATTAAAGCAGAATTAGGCTTTGAAAATTTTGATATTTATTAAATTAAGTTTTCATAAATTTGGAATAATGACAATCTTTTCCCTGTTGCTTTCGTTAATTCTACGTTAGCGTCGAGCGTTTTCTTCTTCCCACATTTTATTTTATTTTATTTATTTATTTATTTTTTTTTTTGTTTTTGTTTTTTTTTTTTTTTTTGGTATCGTCAACCCCGCTATAGTTTATCCTTAATTCGTTTGTTAATAAACCATTTATATGAATCGTGGTAAACCACCAGCAGAGCGGTGATACATATAAGGGGCCGGAGGTAGCCCGGGAAAGTGTCTTTGGCGTTGATGCGGGAGCTGGGGACGATGAAGCTGGCCATTGCCGCCCGAGGAAGATGACGCCTGCTGCGAATGGTGCTGATGTTGGTGTTGGTGGTGGTGGTGGTGCTGGTGCTGCTGCTGCTGCTGCTGCTGCTGCTGCTGCTGCTGGTGCTGCTGCTGCTGCTGGTGCTGCTGCTGGTGGTGCTGTTGCTGTTGATGATGATGCTGCTGCTGCTGCTGCTGCTGCTGCTGTTGTTGTTGTTGTTGTTGTTGTTGTTGTTGTAATTGTTGTTGCTGCTGATGCTGCTGTTGCTGTTGCTGGAGCAAATGTGACGTGCCATCACCGAGATCAAGCTCGAGCTCCTGTTGCTCAACAAGCTGAAGGGCACCAAAGGATGCTGTGGCCATTGCCACATCCGGCATAATACCAGAAAGGTGTCCTTCGCTACACGCGTTGTTTTCTGTATGTTGCTAAAAATTGCATAAAAAGAGAGAATTACAATTTTCATCATAAGCACGGGTCTTCGAATAAATATAATGAAACGCTGAACATTGAAAGTATTATCATTTACATCGTACTCGTTATCTTATAAATAATATTTCTATAGTCAATAAGGTTGTAAAAACTTTGTGATAAGTTTTCCCTCTTTGAAACGATATTTTAGTAAGAAAATTAAATATTAGTTCAATGTAATAGTACTTATTGCGATCACAACTTTATCAGTTTTTAAAGGATAAATCATTTATTATTACTTTTAATTTGAAGAAAAAAAAAAATATATATATATATATATATATATATATATATATATATATATATATATATATATATAGAATAATTTATTATTAGATTATAGTAAATATATTTTGATGTAGAAGTAATATGGAATAGAATTAACAGCTGAAAATGTACATTAGTATATGAAGGATAAATTGTAAACACGAGCAACTTATCTAATCATATTTGAATGTATTTCTAAATGTGAATTTATATTTCTAATACATATTATGATGACATTATTCTTATATGCTCATTTTTAGTTTTATATAATGCACATAATTCATCGTATTAGTATAGCAATTAATTTCATTAAAAGATGACATTTAATTTGAAGAAAAAAAAAAAATATATATATATATATATGTATATATGTATATTACTAATAATGATAAATAAACACCGAATCCATTATTCTCGTGAAAATTGCATGTTTAAAATGATGCGATATACGTTAAAATAATAATATTTATTCTTACATGGATAAGAAATAATACTCAAACAATTCCATTGAACGATAGTTCTCTTTAATTTTTTACATAAGATAAGGAAATACCTACTTTGATAACGAACTCCTATTAAAGTATTTACGGTCTTCGATATAAATGCTAAAAGTTTTTATTCGTTATCACAGTGTTTCATAATATCATTAAAGACCCACGATATTATAAAGGTCTTCTTGTCATATGAATTTATTATGATATTAATTGTTAAAAATTTGAAATCGTCGCAGTACAAAAACAATGTTCTAATTTCATACAACGTTTACACATTAATTAATAATAAAAGCACTGATTAAACAATGAATCCATTGGATAATTTTATTAAAATTATCGTAACGTATAATATATTTTTATTCTTAAAGGATATTCGTTAAAACTTTAATTTTATACGAAGAACAGACAACATCGTTAATAATTTTAAATGCTCGTTCAATCAATTTTATAAATATAATTCTCTTACCATTTGAAATTTCATTCCGCTTAACGGTTTATATAAATACTGACATTATTACTGTAAATGTTACTTGCGGTTTTTAAATTGAATAATTAAAGGAAATATACATAATGTTAATAAAAATCAATGATTAGAAGAATATAAAAATTAGGAAATGATAGTTAAATCCAAATGAGAAATTGAATTAATTAATAATATTTGATTTGCCATTAACAATAATGAATGATAATCGTATAAATAATAAATATCACGTTTTACGATTCATTATTTAGCATTTAATTTTGCCTTACAATTTTAAATAATGACAAAAATCCGATCTCCAAATAGAATTGACGAAAAGTAATTATTATAATCAAGATGGAAGAAAATACGACTGTCCTAGGTTTACATTATCAGTGTAATAATCTGTTAAAGTGGTTGATATACATTACGAATCTATTCCATATCACAGAAACATCTCAACAGGCCGAGTTATTTATTGCGTATTAAGTAGTACATCGATGAAAATACTTTTCTTTTATTTACTATTTTTGTTTACCGTTGTCGAATCTAACCGTGAAAATATTCCAATCCTTTATGTTCTTATCGGCATCATAAACGATCGCTTCCAACTCGAGCGACGCTTGCATCGATTAAATTACATTTTTTCTCTCTACATAATAGACGTGTTTTCAACCTCGATTCACGCTCGAGCACGAGTTTCCACAACTCCATGTATAAATAATGAATTTCATGCATAACTTAATGGAATAACAAAGTACTGAAATTGCCATTCTCGGTAAGGTCTTGGGCACTCGTTTTCATAAGCTTCCGTTTAAGCAAATCCAAATCATAAGCCTTCATTATATCCCCATGTCCATTAACCTTTCTAAATATTACCTGAAACACTTGGCGATATAAAGGAATTGCAACTAACTGGCAATATCCAGCAATGCTATAAGCCGAATGTATTGCAAAATTTAACAATTTACCAATATTTTGTCCGTGTAATTACAAAACATCCCCATCATTTTGCCGTAAATTTCATTCCAACTTCACGCGGAGTGCACATGGACGCGCGCGACTTTCTATTCAAATGGGAGCTCAAGCTGGTGCGCATTAGCAAGATTTAAATAGGGAAATGAGACCCAATTAAATAAACATTGGCTGTGGCGCGAGCGGAGTCGCTCGGGCGCACGCGCACTTCAACGCACATAAGCATACCTCGACAGAAAGTCGGTAATTCTCTCCCTCGGTGACGATCGCTGGAAGCTCGTGACGCCGGTGTGTGTACGCGCTGGTGTGCCTCGGAAAGGTCATGTTGCGCCCATAAGTAATGGCCGCGGAAGCACCAAGATTATTAGCACCCATGCCCATCAGCGAGCCGCAATCCTCGTCCGCGCTCACCGAATTCGTATCCGACTCGCCGCCCATGCTGTAGCTCGTCGTATTCTACAATGAGGGAGCAAGAAGGAAGACACATTTAGCTCTATCGACACTGAATAGCGAGCCCTTCAATTATTTCCGATAATCAAGTCGACGCTATGGGAACGAGCGATTTTTAAAAGATCTTTTAATTTAACTGACGAGTTTTTAAAGAATTATATGCGCTTCAGCTCCAGACCGACTTTAGCAATACTACTTTCTTTCGCTAACGCGATGCCCCGGACCCACGGACTTTGCATTCCCAGTTAAGACTTCGCGCATTTACAATTATTCCATTATATTCTTCTTACCTCATTATCGTCGACTGCTCGAAATATTCTTTATTCAGTGGCATGCACGTATAAAAATATGAAAGTATTTGGAGCAGAAAGCTCGTATTAAAATAAAAGTTATTTTTGCATGATTGGTCGCTCTCTCTGTGTGTGTGTGTGTGTGTGTGTGTGTGTGTGTGTCTGTGTGTGAGCGCATATTAAATTTTTTCTTAAAATTATCGGCAACTTTCTTTTAACCATAATTATCGCATATTACACGTAATACGTACAATAGTAATAATATGTACGTGTGAACCAAATTATGCATATATATATATATATATATATATATATATGCATGTATATTGTAAAGCCATAAATAACCTAAATACAAAATACTTTCACCGCTTATAGAGAAAACTATCTATGAGAAATTCACAATTTTTTGTACTCATTTTCCTCTAATGTTTTATCGCCTCTTCTGTTCAATTTGTTATTTAGCGAAATATATCGAATAAAACTAATAATATCAAGATATTAACGAGACTAGAGTGGATGTCCAAATAAATTATATGTAAAATAATATGGGCGAAGGTAGAATTTTAACGCAATCCCTTAGAATTATTAATTATTCTAAAGGGATATTTTATGTTTAAAAAAGGGCACTGTAATAGTTGAAAGTTATTATTTCAATGCTGCATTTATTAGATCTATCGTTTCAGCAGATAGTAATAAAATATTTATAAACAAACAAACAAATGAGTCCATGTATACTGAAACTCAACCAAAATATTTTATTCTTCGCGATTAATTTACCCGCGAGATAAATACATAAAATAGTAAATATTAAATATAACATTTATAATGGTAAATTTTACGAAACAATTTGTAAAGTAAATATGTATATCTATTATATATAAAACACAATGCTTAATGTTAATATATTTATTTTACCAATTAACAATGCCTCATTACTAAATTACACGCAAATAATCTAATGTAATTTATATAGTCGAATAAATATAAAGAATTATTTTGGAAAATAAATGGCCTACTGAATCGTAAACATTTCAATAACAAGTTCATTTATTAAAATATTTACTGATACATACTTTAAAGACCATAAAATATGTAATTTACTTTGACACGTCTACATAATTAATAATTTGAATAAAATTGCAATTATAATACAAAATATCTTTATTTTATGATATAATAGAAATTATTTTTCCTGTTTCATGGATATAAAATAATGCCTACTTTAACATTTATGCGTATATTTCGCTATCGACAACAAAGTATTATTATACTTTGTAAATTCTGAAGGCTCAATTCTATTTATTTGAATAAAAATTTGATGAAAAACCAATATTCAAATAATAATAAGAAGAAGAAATTTGTGTCAAGTTCTTTGTAAAAATCTCGCATAATCACGACTATGAAAGTATTTTTTGCATTCATAATTATAGTCGTAATATTTTAGGAAAAATGTTTATATTGCTTTTCGTTGTTGAAATTGGCCTTTTTATATTATTCTTAAAAATCATTAATTAGAAAATTATTAGTTATAATATAGCAAAACTTTGTGAGTTGGACTATATATGTGGGCTCATGAATCTTAGACATCTATTGCGACGCTTTATGTTGGATTTTATAACTTTAATTACTCAAAAATTTAATTTCTGTATCACGTAGCTTAAACTTCTTCTAAATACTTATATATTTTTCGTATTACTTGAATTATTTTTTATGTTTCATTACCAACAGTATATTTAATTTAATAGCCTTAGGTTTTTCAACAAAACTGTAATAAATTACAATATAAAATGAATGTGGTGTCATCAAGGAAATTTAGTTAAAACAGAACATATATTTGTTATCCTAATTTCATATTATAACAAATAATAAAATATAATTGGCTATGGCAATAATTTATTAACAAAAATTAAGCAATAAAATAGAAATAAATATGTTAAAATACAATATATAATTTATAATGACAATTATTTAAAATTTTAAATGTATTAAAACTTTAAAGTTAATATTGAAATTTTATCTTTTTATATCACTACCCTTCCCATTTTTTTTTTTTTTTTACTTTTACCTTTACTTTTCCCTTTCAGACTAGACATCTCGTGCTTCATTGCCCGTATAATTTTGTGATTTCCGGCATATTCGGAGAAACAAATAAATTATAAAATATTGCTACTATAATAGAAAACTGCATGGATATACACCATTTTGTACATATTTTCAGCAATTTCTGCAGTGGTATTATATAATAATGTCAAATTCACAGAACAGTTTTTATTTTTAAAATAACTCGCCATCTATTGACATATAAAGAATTAAGGAAACAGGTACTCTTTGCATTATAAACAGAATATTTATGTAATTTGTATGTTTAATATTAAAAATAAATCTGATTAATTGAAAAATAATTGATTTTTACCTATTAATAATATCCATTAAGATATTTATAAATATTAGCAAGATATAATGAATAATCTCAATGTTATTTGATAAAAAAAAAAAAAAAAAAAAAAAAAGAGAAAAAAAATTTTTTTTTTGTAAATTAATAAATATACAATATTATATGATTGACAACTATGATGAAGAACGTTTAATGAAATATTATTATTTACTGGTAAATTTTATAAATAAATATATTAGATTTATCCGTTCAATTACTGATTACTCTTCGGTATAATTATTTATTATGATAATGTAAAAAAAAGTACTTGTTATAAAAATTTTCATTTTCATTTTTTTTTTTTTTTTTTTTATGAAATTGTATTTTTTTCTCCTTACTAGATGCGATTGAAGTCCAAATATTAATTTCTAATTCTTGTACAAATAAAAATAAAAAATATATACTTCATGAGCGTAAATAAATATTATCCAAATCATTGGATACTCCTTACTGATATTAAAATTTGAACTAATTTTGCGACAAAAGCTCAAAGAAATTGAACCGATAATTGAAAAAATACAAAATTTAAATGAACAATTCGATTTGAATAAAAATAAATACTACGATAAATTAATTTTATAATTTAATTCGTACAATCATAAAGGAAAAAGGAAAATTAGAATAAAATTTTTTAATAAACTTTTTTCATTTGTTCGTTTAATTATCATATTAATTCGAATTTCTATTTACATTTGTCATGCGACACTAACGTACTCTCCCAATCAATTGAATAAATTTAGTAAATATCAATAATGATGATCAATGATAATGTATAAAGAAAGATATATTCAAGTAAGAAAATCCTTACAATCACTCAATATGATTATCAATTTTATTCACATTATCAAATAATGTTCTTCAATGTGCAAACTAATAATGTGATGTAACAAAATAATAATCTGTAATCTTTTAATTTAAATATGAATCGAAATGCTCAAGATAGTGTGATTATATTCGTTAATAAAATATCTATTTATCTTGGGTGCTTGGACTTGTGAGACTCCACAGCAATATACCTAACATAAACGAAAAATATTTAACTACTGATAATATACAATAGCAATTTTACTGCATTTCAATAACAAATTATTAATGATAATGTCAGAACGTAAGTAGATAAGTAATGGAAAAGAAATTCGCAACGAATAATGGCATTGATAAAAGTCTGGCTTAATTTCTCGAGCATGTTGATTAGAATAGAGAAGAAATTCTTGTTTATCAAGGTGTATAGATTAAAACTGCATGCTAATTGAACTGACAAATTAACAATGTGACTGGTATAATTAATCGAATTTGAAGTGGGAATAAGTACGTAATTATTGGCGAGAAAAACGTAGAAAAAAAAAAAAAAAAAAAAAAAAAAAAAAAAAAATAATAATAATAAATCTACATAAATAGTCTGTAAAAATTTTCAATCAGCATTGAATAGAAAGAATTATCGTAGTTAATATTGCGCACATGTGCGCGCCACGAGACGACAATTCCAAGACTTAAAGAGTTTTTTTCGAAGCACACTGCACTCAGTCGAGCATAGTTCGTCCCCAGGCAAACGGTTACGTACGCTCGCTAAGAGCATTAGGGTAACGAGAGCCAACTCTAAGGCAGCCAGCAGCAGTAGCAATATTAACAGCAAGAGCAGCAGTAGTACTACCGGCACCACAGGCACCAACAGCATTGTGTCAAAGTCAAGTGGGTAAGCCGAGTTTGCTCCCGTTAGTAGACTTTGCATAGCAGTCCCGTTCGGAACTCTCGTATAAATAAGAGCAATTTCCTAGCGATACGGTCATTCAATTGCCGAAATATCACTTCCTTTTCGTTAATTTGTCAAATTAGTGCACACTGGGAAATGTATGGAAGAGTGGATCGAGCGTAATTTCATACAGATAAATAAATATTCGGTGAGTCATTAAATGTGCAACGATACGTTTTTAAACGAGGTCGAGAATAGTTATGTGTATCGACGGTTTATCAAGCGAAATAATAATAAAAAAATAGCTATCAAGACGAAAAGTTATTTTATAAATCAAGGAATATTATTGAAGTAAAGGCTGGAGTATTTATTCATTGGAGTACTAAAATTAGTTTATCGGATAAAGACGTTCGTTCGTCAATATTAGTGCCTAATGACATTTTATAAAAATTTTGTCCATTAAGTATTTACACATCATTAAATAGCTTAAATTAATCAATGCCTAAGCAATTTAAAGTAATTTTAGAAATTATCTTTTTGAGAAACTGAAGAAAGTAGAATATAAGTCCGCTATTAATAAATACAATGCAAA